CCCCCAACAAGCTCTAGGATGAGGGACAACTCGCAGTGACACTGAGGCAGGCTGCACTGTCACCAAGGACCCAGAACAGGGAAACTTCCGTAACTGCCACTTTCCAAGCCAGCCACCTCCACCACCTCAAGCGCTAATCGCTGGCATCTAAATCTACAGGATTTCCCAGAAGAACAATTGACTGCTACGTGTGCACACCCTACTTAAGACTGGCGCCACTGAGGCTGGCACAACATGGGACTCCAGGAACCGTAAGCCTGTTCCTTCTAGACAGGCCTCCTCCTCCGCTCCCCTGCGTCTGACCTGCCAAACAATTGCCAAACATTTCTCTGCATGTCCAACCCCAACTGTGCCGGAGTAGAATCAGTGAGTGAGAAGTAAGGAAGGATAAAAAAGATCTGGTTCTATTGCATAAAATTTTCCAGACGTGGTATGAGCAGAGAAAACTGTATCATTTACTTGAAAGAACTAGTTTTTCTAGCAACAATGTTTATAAAATTACTTTCTATTTTTTAAAACCTGTGCTTTGCAACTGACTTCCCAATGAAGATAAAGTTTTATTAAAAGAGGAAAATATCTATGGTATTTAGAGGTGTCCACAAGAAAAAAAGAGGAAAATATAATTGAAATTATTTGCCTATAAAAGAGCCAAGATGATGACACACTGGGTATTGTAATGCGGCAGCGCTGCCATGACTCCTACCAGTCAGCCTTTAAAATAACAGTTCCTTTTCCCCCAGGTACTCTCCATAATCTGGGATTTCCTTTCTAGCATCAACCCCTTCTCACCCTGCACCACAGGAATTTTTCCCATGCTTGACAATCCTGTCTCCGCTTTTGGAGATTGCAGAAATGTGTTCCCTCTTGCTTCTTTTGTTAAGAATTTATAGAGTCTAACACTTTTGTTAGGAATTTATAGTCTAATAGAATCCAGCTATAACAACACATCTCCTAGTAGAGTTGTAAGGTAATTCTTTAAGCTTGAACTGTCACCTTGCATGAAATAAATCCTTTTCCTACCAGGTTAATTAAGCTCTTAACTTTTTTTGTTTTAAAAAACTTTCAAATTTATGGGAAGAGTTGCAAGAATAGTACAAAGAACTCCCACATAGCTCTGCCCAGATTGATTAGATTCACAAATTCTGCCACATTTGTATTTCTCTCTCTGTCTACACATACACACACATACACACACACACAATCTTTCCTGCCCTATTTGAAAGCTAATTACAGACATTGTGACCTTTCAACCCTCAATTCTTCAGCATGTATTTGTTAAAAACAAGTACATTCTCTTACTTAACCACAGTGCAATTATAAAATCAGAAAAGCTACAATCCATATTCAGATTTTATCAATTGTGCCAATAATGTCTTCTATAGATAATATGTTTCCTGATCCAGGATCGAATCCAGAATTTCCTATTGCGTTTAGTTGTCATGTCTCCTTATCTCCTTTAATCTGGAACAGCTTCTCAGCCTTCCTTTATCTTTCCTGACACTGATATTTTTGCCACATATCTCTGTTCTTTATTCTCCCCTCAGGAACCAAAGTGATCAGATCACATCAATCCCTTCTCAAATCCCTCCAAAGATTGCCCTTTCAATCTTGGAACAAAATTCTTCCCTTCCCTCACTGCATCATCCTACTTTATTTTTCTTCATAGCATGATCTGATGTTACTGTATATATTCATTTATTTGATAATCTGTTTCTCCCAGTAGGGAAGGGTAGAAATTTTGCCTACTTCTTTATTAATTGTCTACCCTGTGGCTAAAAACTTTATCTCATTCATTGTTTATTCCCAGTGACTAAAACAGCCACTGGCATACTGCATTTGCTCAATAGATTCTTGTTGAACAGGTTAATTAATGATTCTCAGATTGCTGAAAGAATGATTAAGATATCCAGAGGTGAATGAGATTCACTAGAAAAGATGAGAATTATTTTTTAAAAAAAAACGCATGCGTCTTAGAGGGCAGATATGGATAGGACAGTGGAGAGTGCAAACAAGCTATTAACAAATTTTCCAAAAAAAAAAAAAAAAATACTTTTATTCAGGGTGAAACCCTGAAAGCAGACTGTAAACACTGAGACCAAAAGTCAGGATCAATTTCTACCTTTTTAAGAATGGTTTGGTTTAAAGGCAACTGGAGATTATAAGAAGCATGATTCATACAGACATTTCAAGTGTTATGTATCCTCTAGGACTATTAAAAGAGTCTCTCACTAGTGAGATTCAGGCAACAAAATCTGTACAGACCACCCACATATCCCTGCTCTTTGATTTACCACGGAAGTTCTTGGTCTCTGCTCTGTTCTCGTTCATACATTGTTCATAGACTTCTATTTTTTATAATATTTTAAACTTGCATAAAAGATGCAATGATGGGAAAGAACACTCATAGACCCTCTCCTTTTTTCTCCATTTGTTTTCACAATCCCTCCCTCAAAGCCTTATCACTCTCTCTGAATATATACTATATATAACAGTTTTATTGTGCTATGCCTTGGAGATTGCCATTCTGGACAATGTCACCATATAGATTCAGGTTGTCGTTTATTTCCAGAATGGTTTTTTTCACTGCAATTATAAATATCCCTTCTGTTCCATTACATTGTTTTTCCTCTTCAGGAACTCCAATTGTTCACATGATGGCTCTTCTTTGACTTTCTTCCATTTCAACCACTTTCTCTCTCACCCACATTACTCGTTTCTTTATATCATTGTCATTCTCTTCATTGTTCTCCTGCCTTCCCTCAATGTCCCTTTTTACATTTTCATTCAAATCTATTCTCCCTTTGATCCCGATAATTTAGTATGTTGTTTCTAAAAATTAATTAATTAATTAATCAAGTCAACATTTTATTCTTTTTCTTTTCTAAGTTAAATCAACTTTCACTTCATTTTTCCTGGATTTTGGTCCATTTCTGACCTTAGCTTTTTAATTTGTGATTCAAGGTGTTTTCCATAGCTCAATGTTTGCTTGAAGACAATTAAATTCCACTAAGAGTATCATGTTACAATATTCTTCTGCTTCATGGTTGCTTTTCAGAGAGGTATTTCCATCCACTGAAATGTTTCGATTTTCCATCCTGTTTTGTTTTTATGATAGTTTCACACAGTGAGACCAGTGACATCTGTGCATTTTGTGGACAGGCTTGACAATGAGCAGGTTCACATGATCTCTAGTTCAAGAGCTCCCTTTCCTGACAGAGACGTGAAGTGCAGTTTCTTTAAAGTGTGGCTTTTGGTAGGGGGCAGTGGAGGAAGAGTTTTATGTCCATCAATTTTTTGGTTTTCTTTTTAATCTTGTGGTATTTTAGATTTCCCCCATCTTGCCTCTTTTCCCTTCACCAACAAGACTCCAAAGGGTGCTCCTCCCTTACTTTCAACTTTCTCCATCCTTAGGATCCTGCTTTTCCACAGCTGCTATCTAGGTACTTGTAAGTCCCTTCCTCTTTAGTCAGTGCTCTTGTCTACCTGGACATTTTTTCAGCATTTTCACACTTAGGATAGACTTTCTCTTCTGCAGGGTGATTTTCACACACTCCCCTCTTGTCTCTTCTACAGTTTTTACAGAAACCACTACCTGCCCACGAAGCCTCGCAATGGGAGCTCATGAGGCAGCTCTACTGAAAATGGATGTTTGTTTCTCTACTTACAGTAACTAACGTTTGTACTGACCTCTGGCTTCTAGTTATGCTGAAGGTGGAAGGATTTATGTGGTTCAATTTGCTTCTTATTGATCTGCACAGTTTTTTGGAAGATGTATAAGGGATTGATATTTAGGCAGCAGCAATTAATTACTTCAGCTTCCTGTAAATTCCTCATTTATAATTCTTAACCAGGTATTTCTTCCTTATACCTGAAATTAGATTTCTGGTGTTCCATTTCAGTCCTGTAATGGATATTGTACTGGACACTCTTATGGTCCACTCATATCCCACCTTCGGGACTGAGGCACCTGCTCCCCAGGTGCTGGGCATCATGGCTGCTGACTACTGACTGCTGTGCCTCTCACAAGGCTGACTCCTAGACAAAGGGGCCTTACCCAATGTTACACACACCCCCTCCATGATGATGCCAGCAGCCAATAGCTGGCTGATACAAGGATACAAAGCTCGACCTCTTGCCTTAATTTGTGACAACTCTGAAAAACCTTTGAGCTCCGGAGCTCCCTACAGGTCAGCTGAGGTTTCAGTTGTAACTGCATCACAAATGAGCTTGTCTGTCTGCCCAGTCCTGCCTGCCTCACTTCCTTAAAGGAGTACCTCCTGAGTGCACGCCTCAATATACCTCTTCAAGCAAACCTCTGTCTCAGGATGTCTTCAGAGCAACCAACCTAAGACAATCATCACCATAAAAAATTTGTACTGAGCCATGAGACAGGCACTGCTGTAAGTCTATTGATATGCTGTATACATTCACTTAATTTTCACAAGGAAACAGTAAAGAAGATACTATTATTACCATCTTCATCTCTCAGATGAGAAAAGAAAAATCATAGAGAAGATAAGTACTTGTCTAAGTCAATAAATGGCAAAGGCAGGATTTGAATGCAGGCACCCTGACTTAAAAGCCCATTCTCTTATCTACTCCACTCCACTGCCTCCCACCCAGCTTGGCATTCACTATTCCCTAGTATGACACTTAGCCAGCCCTTTGCTTGCATTTTTCTAAGCCCTGCCATGGAGCACAACCAGCATATGACACATACCAAAGATGAACAAATATTAAGATTTTTTTAACACATGATATTTTCATGAGTGGATTGGTTACAATATTAGTTGCTAAAGGTGTAATGTGATCATATGAATTTGTCTTTCAAAGCTTTATTAGCATTATAAACAGGGAAGCACATTTGTAAATCCATCCTATTATCACTCAGGAATATTTTTCATCTGTACTCATATATTAGCAGACACACGTTAACTTCTCTGTAGACTTGTTTTTTATCTTACTCCCAAGTAATAACAAAAATACTGTAAAGTTCTTACCTCCATCTTGAAATTTGCTTAATCTCTCAAAATATGATGACATGGGGGCCTGTACAATGTCTAGGATAGCCAGAAGTGTTCTTGTTAGCCTTAATAACTCACTGAAACTATAAAATCCAAAGTATATAAGATTCCGAGCCAAGTGGACCACCTTAATTAAAAAAGGGTGGCGGGGAGAGAGTGGAAAAGAAAAAAACAATTAGGAACTCAAATAAACATTGGCATTTTTTAGTATCTAAAGTAGTTCAGGTATTTCTAAACTTCCTAATTCTTTAACATCTAGGGATTAAAATACCTGTAAAAGCAACCACTTGAACTTTGACTTATTCAGTTCTATAATTAAATCCGAATACGATTTTGTATACGTTAAGTGGTTAATGAAGTTTACATTAGAATTATTTATCTTTTAATTAAATATTAACCCATTCAAGTCTATAAATACCACTTCATAAACAGTTATATTAATCAATTACTTCAAAAAATAGATATTATCCATGAAATTTGCCCAGAAATATATGTTCCCTATGCTGCTCTGTGGTCTTCCGCATACTATCAGACATCCTAAGTATGAAAGTCGGGCTTCAAGATGAAGCCCCCAATGCACAGTCTCCTGCACATTGTACCAGGGCTGGTCTGAGTGACCAACAGAAGTGATGGCATGTCACTTCTAGGATTAGATTACAGAAGACTGCAACTTCCATCATGTACTCTCTCTCTCTCTCTCTCTCTCTCTCTCTCTCTCATTCTCTTGAATGGCTTGCTCTAGGGGAAGACAGGGACCATGTCATGAAGACACTCGGGTAGCCTATAGAAAGGCCCACCTGGCAAGAAGCTGAGGTGTCAACAGCCAGCAAGGAAGTGTGGCTACCAACAAACACATGAGTGAGCTTAGAACCAGACTGCAATCCCAGTCAACAGCTTGCTGGCTGCCCAGTGGGAGACCCCGAGCCAGAAGCCCCCCAGCTAAGCTACTCCTGGGTTCCTCACCCATAGAAAGTGTGAGATAATAACTGTTTGTTGCTTTAGGCTGCTAAGTTTTGGGGTAATTGAGTACACACCAATAGGTAGCTATTACACCTGGTATCAAGTAACAGTATCCTTTCTCTAGTTTTGTCACTATATCACCAAAATGATAACTGGAGGTATTTCAATTCAGTTTAATGAGGATAAAAATGTCACCTTCATTAAGATGAAAAAAAGTATCCAAACATATTATAAAATATGGAAAACTATTTTGTTCATTAAATGCAATAAAGTTAACATAAATTAAACAAAAACTCAAGGAAAATAGCATATAAAGGATAATTATAAATAAAATATTTTGTATTGGACATCAAGGTATAATCAAAGTACCAAATCCATCTCTTAAAAAATGGCACAGAGAATCATAGTTTCACGAACTAAACTATCCAAGTACCAAAACATTCTAAATATTAGGATGGAAAGAAGGCAAAAAACTATTAAAAGGAAAAAAACTTTGATGCTCAATGAATATAATTTTTCACAGGGTTAATAATGTCAAGAATAATTGTTTTTAAAAAGATACCTCAAATGTCAGTTTGTTTTTTTCTTTATCCCCAAAAGGAAAGGGCTGGTTTACAACTTCTTTCAAGTATTCTTCAACAAATTCCATTGTCAGTGCAAATTTCCTTTTCATATCATTTCTAGAAGAGTCTGTTATAGAATCATATCTGGAAAGACAGAAATAAGATAAAGCAAGTGAAATTGATCACAGGCATTTAAAAATAGGAAAACATATATACTTTAGCTTCCTGGCTTCATAATCTTGGATAAATCAGTAACTGTCCCGGGTGTTATGTCCTTATCTGTAAAGTAGGGCTATTGTGAAACAAGTTAACATATGTAAAGCACATAAACCAGTCTACCATAACATTAAGTACTTAACAAATTTTTACTCGCATTATCAATATTATTTCTGTTTACTGGTTTCCAGAAAGATGCTTCTATTACCACTAAGAGTTATCATTTTAACAAAGAGTGTTTTATTTGCATTTGGAAGATTAACAACCTGAGTTAGAACACACAAATGCCTTTCCATGTATTTCATTTCAAAACAGTAGACATTTGATTTTGAGTTCATCAGCTGAATTGAAAGGCCTCAAGAAATTTTTCCAAACATACTCATGAATCGTGATCTTTGTGGGGATTTCTGTCCAGAGCCTGGCATAGCGAACGGGCACCACAGACTCCTGGGGATCCCGGTCAACATGCATGTGGAGCATGAGGCGACAAAAGGATGCTCGGAGGTCAAAGGGCAGGCTCTCGTCCGACACGCACCGCAGGATCAGATCTACAGAGAGCTGGGTAGAGATCTGGTTTATGGCCAGATATTGGCGATCCAGGCACATCCGTGCAAAGAGGTTTAGCTGGTACCTTAAAAATATTAAACATATTACATCACTTGTCTTATCTTGATAAAGTTCTTAAACATCATAGTACCAATCAGCAGCTATGTTTGTGGTACCTATATTTCCAAGTGTTATACTGGTGTCAAATTCTTACGGTAGTAGGTTAAGTCATCAAATGACAACAATATATGAAATTGTCTCTATGCCCCTTCAGTGACATTTTCTCTTACTTGTGCCAGCAACATGTGTCTGGTGGAGAGTGTAGTTATGCTCTGTTTCCTAGGATTACAAATACTACACTAAGCCCAAAGGCTATGGGAAAGAGCTCACGTGAAACCACCTTTCTCCACCTCCCCCAGGCTCACTCAGCTGCAGGCTCTAGTATCTGCCTCTAAATTGAGCCCACTCAGTTCCCAAACCAAATGTGATCAGTCCAGATGGCAGTAGTACACTTGGATTCACCAGCCCAGGTCTGAGATTAACAATTAGCCTTTGCTTTTGTTGCTATAGCTACAGAAACCAGGAAACACAAGGAATTCTCTGCCTTCCTCTGAGTCCTGCCATTTGGGCCCAACTTGGCCCCAGGGATTCTACCTTGGGTTTCTACCCCTTAAACTCAAGGATGCTAGCTGAGTTCTTGATCCCAATATACTCACCACTGGGGCTTCTGCTGCCATATGCCACCACTGAACTTTCATAACTACAGGTAGCAGTCACCACAAATTCGTAAGTACTGTACACTAAACTACTGGCTGACTTCCTCTGAGCCAGCCCTGCAGCCAGGTCAGCATCCTCAGCCCCAGTTCTCTCTCTCTCTCAACTCCATCGCCCAGGTCCTCACATCTGCCCCTACCCCAATCAATAAGAGGAAAAAACTTTTGCTGCACAAACATTCCAAACTAGTGGAAAACCAGAAAATCGCAAGTGGAGTCTGTAGAAAACACAGACGTTAACATTTTGAGTATTTTAAATATACTAAATATTTCAGCTACCCTGCATCTGACATGACTTTTTAAATTTCCTCTTCATAAATATCTAAATTTTAGAGGCTTCAGAGAATCAGCTCTCAATGAATATGTGAGACTGAGAATTTTGATTCTCTGTAATACTTAACCTGTAATAGGTAAGAACTTCTAAATCGGCCTTGGTGCCTTCTTTTGCCTCTTGAGCAAGGTGCCTAATAGCTTTGCCATGAGGTTCCTTGTTGCTGTCAATCCAATAGAGCCAAACTTCTTCATCATCAATGTCGTCTGGAAGCATGGAGCTCTCCATGGGATTGTCTACTTGCATTGAGACCACCCTTGGAATAAATAAAACGTACAAAAATCTACTAAGAAGTGTACTTACAAATATGATAAAGAACTACAGAACTTACAAATAATAAACCGAAAAAAAAAAAGTGTCCTCTATCTGGGCTTACTTAGTTTGAATGAGAATGTCCGCATTGCCTGGACTCAACATAAATTTACAGATGAGTTCCTGAGTTACAGGAATAGCAGTGGTATTAGACACACACAGATCAGACAAATAATCCAAAAATCTGGCAAGAGAAAACAAATTAAATTGAATATTAAGACGAAGAATTTTATAAAATCATCACAATAAAAATACAATTTGGCATATAATTAAAGAAACTTATTTAGAAATATTTTTGATATTATTTCTATGCACCATTTTTCTAATGTGTTGCTTATCGTTTGTATCATTAGAAACAAACATTCGATTATTTTTATTTAATGCAAACCTTATTTCAAAAAGGATATGTTTGCTTCTATTTGTTTGGCGATACTCATCCCACAGCACTGTGACTTATGTTTAGAAAATCATTTATCTGCCTTACAGTGAGACTCCCTGGAACTGAATATCAAAACAAAAGCTGATGCTGTACTGAATCAAATAGGAATAAAACACAGTCAATGGAAGTAACTATTACCTGGTTGAGTCAGGGGCCCATTTCTACCTTTTCGCATTTATTTGCTGTGTTAATTAGTTAAGAAAACTTTGCCAATTTGCCTGCTTTTCTACATGCATTTCTCCCAGATAATGTAGCAAGGTGCAATAGAAAAAGAACTTGATGCGAAGTCAGAAACTCCTCTTCTTCTATTCCTAACTGTTGGGGTATTCTTGGGCTGTTTATTCTCTAGGCTTCTATGTTCTCAGCTCTAAAATGTGGATAATTTTATAGAACCAGTGTACTTCATGCAAATGTATGAGGATCTAAATGAGACAATGTATATGAATCTATTTTGAAAAGCTATAGTTTTACAAAATCATAAGTTATCAGTGAAAATCAATCACACTTAAATATAAATCTATCAAGGGCTTTGATCTCTTAAGGGGTAATAACTCTTTCTTATACATAATTATTATAGCAATAAGCCCAACATAGTTTGTCCATGAACAGTTTGTGATATGAAAGAATTCTAACTTTTAAAAGTTCTAAAAATAAAACAAAAAGCCACAATCCCCCCTAGAAAAGAATACTCTATGAATCACTTCAAACCTTGGCTCCCGATTTCTCCTGAGTAAACTGACAAATGTTTCTATTTCTTTTGCTGTGATATGTTTCTCTAGTAGTTTTCTGTTGTTGTGCAACAAAGCTGTGATAGTATCTTCTGCCAAAATATCATAGCCAATCTGGGACTGCATGACACAGAAATTCTTAGCAATATATTCCTGCGAAGAAGAAAGGCTATCAGAACACACCGCCAAACAGCTTAGAAATAACAGGTTCTATTAGGTCAACAACATTGATTAATTTTTTCATAACAGAAAATCCACTAAAAATTCTGCTGAAAGAAAAACAAATAAATAATTCTTCAATAAATAGAGCTTTTTGAGGTGGGTAATAAAAACATATTAGCATATGTATATACATAATTTAAATTATAACAAAAAATTATGTCCCTAAAAATAATTTTTAACACAGATACTTACACCCTTGTAAGTGGGAAAAAAAATAATTCTAACTAAAATAACAAGTTTTTATGACATGATAACTTAGGATTTCATCAGTCTATTAGAGGCCTTTCTTCTCTTACTAGAAGTTATAACCAATGATTTTGGCATAATTATAGAAAACAAAATGACTGCCTGAGATTTCATTCATGAGGCATGAGATCTATGCTATTACTTGAAGATCTTAGGTGGAGTGGGTTGATTCCTTTTTTGTACACATACTACAATGGTCTATAATATCTTCTCTTTAAAATAGTGGTAAAATTTCATGTACTTTTTAGCTTTAAAAAGCTATCAAACAAGATAATATGATTAATCACTTTATTGATCAGATCCATTCACCCAGTAAATACTTCTTAAAGCCTACGACATTCCAGGCACTGTTTGAGAGACTAAGGATAAGGCTGTAAACAAGATAGACAGGCTCTCATGTAGCTAAAAGGCAGTAATAAGCAAACAAATATGATCATTTTACATGTTGGTAAGAGGAATGAAACAGAAGGATGGAGAAAGGTGGCAGCTTTAGATGGGGTAGATGCTGAAAAAGTGACATTTGAGCTAGAATGGAAATAATGAGAAGGAGGCAGCCATGAGAAGACCTGAAGGGAAGCCATCTAGGTAGTGGGAGTAGCACATGCAAAGGCCCTGTGGTAGTGGAACCAAGCTTGTGATTATAAACAAACGGTGGCCATTGTAGCTAAGTGAGGAGAAAACAAAGCTGACAGTGCAGAAGTAGGTCAAAAGAATCCTTGCGAGCCATGATAAAGGGCAAAAATGTTATTCTAAAAGCAAGAGAGAGCATTAGGAAGGTTCAATCATGTATTATTTAATATGTTCCTTGTTTTTCACATTAATTTTTCTATGTTCCAAATCATGATTGCTCATTTCCCACGTTCTTTCTACAAGCAACACATCTCACACAGCCATAGAACTGGTGAACTTAACCCCCTTCACAACCAAAAGTTTTCACTTTGATTTTTGGGGATTCTCCTTGGGAATGTATCTGTGTTTCTATGATAAGAGAATTTATTGATTAGAAAGTGGTTTTGCCTTAGGTAAAATTTACTGGAATGTATCTATTTCTTGAATATGATATTGGTTGCACAAATCTAATTATATTCTAGGCAGCATTTCTGTGGCCTTTCAAAATGATGGCTTTGTGTATTGGGTAGCCAGTTAAGTAAAGTAAATGTCTTTTGTTAGTATATCATTTTAAAGATATGTATCGATTTACACACTTTTATGACTATTGTAGTTATATCCTGGCATAAGGCAAACATCCAAGAAGTTAATAAATAATCAAATGAAATTAGAGGTGCTATCAAATTCTATAAATAATAATAAACACAGGCTCAATATTAAAGACGTGGGTTAGTGCGAAATCACAAACGAACTCTCTATTAAGACTGTAACACACAGGTGGGAATAAAGGAAAACAAGGTAATTATGAAAAAAAGTAGAAGGTCTTTCTGCCTACATTTTAAAACCATGTTCTAAAAACATCAGAAAGCTTCTTTATGCTTAATACAAAGCACTTTTAATAGCAATGAGAAAAAGATTTCTCAGCTATCGCTGAGATTCAATTAGAACATGCAGGAGAAAGGGAGGAGAAATAAAACCTAATCCCCAGCAAATACTGGACATTCTTTATTCCTTTGTCAGCTCTTTGATCTACCTCTTGGGGAGATACCCACAGTCATATATCCCAAAGGAGTCCAGAAAGCAGGTCCCCAAAACATATAAACATTTACCTGAAAGGAGTGATGTGACCAGGTAGGGGCATGTGTGTGTGTGTGTATGTGTGTGTGCACACATGCTTGTCAAAAGGAAGTGTGTGTTCAGAGCAGAAACTGCATGTGCCCTCAGCACGCTGGGCCCAATCCCTGGCTAAGACTAAGAGGGGAGTGAGAAAGAACCATGTGTGCCAGACCTTGAGAGACTGAGAACTGAGACCAGTTAAGCCATGTTGCCCAGGGAACCTATGAGGGACTAGCATTATAACCAAACCCAAGGAGATCTGGCACTGTTAAGCACAAGGCAGTGCTGTAGAAGGGGGAGGGGACCTCGGCACCCTTCCAGAGGCTGAGCACAGTCAAGGATGGCACACATCACAGGACTCGATGGGACTGGGGGTGCCCGGCAACCTCTGTAGACCCACTGATTTTTTTCTGTCGATTCCAATCTCTATAATACAGCATTGCTCTTATGCGTAGAGTGGTAACCTGTCTAGCAGGCATATTTCTCCACACTCAAGAAGAGAAATGAGGACAAGTAGAGTCCATGGAGCAGCCTCTCCCTCCCCCTGCCCACTCCAGACCACTACGGAATCCAGGGCCCAATACTGGGAGCATCTCCCATACTGCCTCTGAGCACTTGAAGGTCTGTCATTTCACGTTTTGGAACTTAATTTGTCTTCCAATAAAATATGAACAACTCTACCTACTTTATCTTGCCATCTTAAAGGAATGCAATGAAGTTGGGAAAAATAATTCTAGTGGCAGCATTTCTAATGGAAAGAAGGATATTTATAACAAGGATTATATTAGAAAATATTTAAGGATTTGTTTATGTTGTCCCCTTGCTCCTGGTCCTTGCCATATTATTTATCTCCTGGCTAATGTTTATATATTCTTTTTGGACCTTTCTTAACCTTTAAACAGAATTTCAAAGCCAAAATATTCAAACACAATCTTCCTAAAGCAAATCTTTTTGTCTTTCCAAAAACCTTCCAAACTACAAGAGGCAAAGTGTGATGGTTAAGGGCCTGGGGTTTGCATACTGACTCCATTTTCAAAACTATCATCTTGTACAAGTTACGTAAGCTCTCTGTGCCTCCACCCCTCATCTTAAATTCAGTATTAACTGAGTTAATTCATGAAAAGTACTTAGAACTCAGCGTGATACAAAGTAAGCACACAATAAATACCACTAACGATACCCAAATAACCTCCACCCTCTATATTTGACATCCTAGACCAAGGCTCTACATGGCTTAGCCTGCCCCACCCTCCCAGGCCTCTCCCACCCCATCCTTCCTCATGGACCACACTCATCAGCAAAATTTCCTGATGACACATTCATCCCTCAAACGGATTAAAAGAAACATGGGATGCTAATTTACCAAACAATAATTAACTTTAAACAACTTTATATTAAACATTTACAGTACTGAACACAATGCAAAATATTATATGTTTTTAAGATAAAAGTGAAACTTAAATTTCACTTGCAGTTGGCAACATTTAGCTGTATGCCTAGATCCACCTGGGTTTCCGGCCTCTACAGTTGCGGATTTCTTAGGGCAAATGTGCCTTTTCTAGCATCCATCATTCTCACTTCATAGATCTCTCTTCCTAAAATATCCATTCCCATACAATTTACGAAGATGATTCTCCTCCTGCTCTAAGACTTCCTTATCCAAACATTCTTCCTTGGCTCCCACAGCCACAGCTGAGCTCTCCCACTTGTGAATTCCCAGCACGCTCTCTTCTCTCTTGTGTCCCCTCATGTCCTCACCCTGATATTTCAGATGCATACGTTGTATCTTTTCCACCACACAGTAAGCTCTTTGGCAGGTATATGGTGATATTATACCTGACCAGTTCCTCAAGCCAAGAAATGCTTCATTCCTCTTTACATAATAAATCCAGTATGCCTCCCGGCCAGCAGGAGGCAACACCACACACATGGAAGGACCCAGTACATCCTCTCCCAATAATTCTAATTTTATAGGGAAGAATAAATACATGTCAGTTCAAAAATATTTATAGATCATTTTTGTGTGTTGCCAATAAAAAATATTTCATTTCAAAGTGATATTCCCCATTCCTACTTTCTATGCTTTAGAACAGTAACCAAAGAACCTAGCTCATGCTTTAAATATGACACTGAGCTAAAAATGGGGACCACCCTCTGACCTGATTTTTCCGGTAGTCCTGCTGAGAATGTCTCAGTACGCGGTAGCAGAGCCGCAGCATGTACTTGTAGGGAGCATATCTTTGGTCCCCCAGATCTTCAAGTCTCAGCATTGAGCCTTCTCCTGCTTTCTCCTTAAAGGGTGCTTTGAGAATCCCAAATACCTATTAGGAACAAAAAGAACCACCTATTCTGATGAATGAAGGTGTGTGTTTTGCAACCTATTTTCATTTTTTTCCAAATGAGAACATTGACTCAAAACACTTACGCAATATTTGAGTAGTATTAATGTAATGGGCAAAAAATAAAAAGGATTTAGGATACAGGACCAACATATCAAAGAACAGAAAAATACTGCTGCAAGGGTTCCCTAAACAGAATGACAAAAACATTATTTAAATAAAATGCTTAATTTTGTTTAGAAGTTCTATTTTATTAAAATAGGAAGTAAAAAGATAACTTGTTCCAAGTTACATGGACATATTGAGATGAACTAAAATATAGCTTGATTTCTATAAGGCTTTATAGTTTCTGCTATTACTTCCTATAACTTTTCAAAACCAAAATAATATTTTTAAAAAAACATTTATTTTTCATCTGAAACTGACATCAGAAAATTGCTTCCAAATAGTGCTTCTAAACCTCTGTAGAAAAGAGTTAATTTACTATTTTTGGTGCATAAAGATGCGGCCAAGTCAACAAATGTATCAGTATTCAAATGTAACAAATAAGGAGCCACATGGGCAGCTGGTGGCACCCAGTGAGCCAGACTCTTGTAAGGTTAGCAGTTTGGAAGTATTTAAAAGGCACTGAAGAATATAACTCTTTCAGGCAGGAAGACAGCAGGTAGGATCACCTGGAGATGAGTCGGTGGATGAGTAAACAGTCTGTGAAAGCACATGAGCATTAATAGAAGCAAAATGGAAAGGAATTATCCTTAGGAGTTCATAAAATATGATATGAATTAAAGTTTCTTCAATAATTCTGTATTTGCTAAACCTTGAACTTTATAATTCTGAAATAAAAGATTTGATAAATATTGTTTAAAATAATATTAATAAATCATTCAAGGTTTTAAAAGTCCTTAAAATCAAATGTTTTATATAAAAGAATTCCAAGAACAAAGACTTTGTCCCATTAAATTTGCAACCTTTATTTTATTTGAGGAAAATGTTTATTTTATATTTTCAATCAGAAATAGATTGAAAATATAGATATTAACAATATCTAGATATAGATATTGTTAAAATATAGATATTAACAATATGTCTACCGTTTTGTTTTCCCAACTTAATAAAGAACATGTGTATTAATGACATGGTTTCTATGTTTTAAGTATCTTCCTTAAGTCCATACTTAATTCATGCAGAAACCCATTACTTTAAATAGCAATTAACAGAATAAAAAGAACACGTGAAAGTAGGCATGTCCATATGTGCCTATTACTAATTTTAGGAAGTGAATTAATTTACTGATGTGTTCTGAACAATTTCAAGGAGACATAATATAGGAGCAGCTCTATACTTTCAGAGAAAAAAACTAGAATACTGTATAGAGCACTTGTGAGCTAATGAACAGACTGCCCTACTTTCCTGGGAAAAAGAAGCAAAGAAGTAGGAAGCAGATGGAGACGGCAGTTTCCAAGTTCACCTGGGAAGTCTACCCACAAATTTTTCCAGCATATTTTCTGGAGCTAGTCTGACCATGCAGGTTCCTTTAGAGGTCTATGGCAGGCTGCCTCAAGATGGCCCCAATATTCCTACCTCCTGGTACTCACACCCTCATGGAATGCTCTCTGTTTGATGGAGGGGCTAGACTTTCTAACCTGATCCTAACAAATAGAATACAGGAGAATTGACGGCATGCTACTTCTATGATTAGGTTATGAAATGATGGTGGCTTCCACCTGAGTGCCTTCTCTATTTCTCTCTTGGATCCCTCACTTCTTAGGAAAGCAAGCTGCCTTGCCTGGAGGCAGCCCTGCGCAAGCACCACAGGGGTGAGCTGGGAAGCAGAGGCTCTCCCAGTTGAGCCTTGAGATGACTGCAGCCCCAGCCAACACCTTGACTGCAGCCTGGTAAAAGACCCTGAGCAAGAACTGCCCACCTAAGCCACTCCTAGACCCACAGGCCACAGAAACTGTGAGATAACAAGTGTCTGTTGTTTTTAGCCACTAAGTTTTGGCGTCATTTGTTACATGGCAATAGATAGCTAGTAAAAGGACTTTCCTGATATTATAATTCAAAAAATAAAATATGCAAATTTAGTACATGAAAAAACTCACCTGTGCCAATATGTTTTGTTCTCTCATTAATTTTTGACGTTCTCGGTTTGGCTTAGTGACAACCACATCCAGAACTTCTTGTCCGTTATTAGGCACATCAGCAACAAAGAAGATGAGGTCTTCCAATAACTTGGTTACAAATCTACCATAAAATGGAAAGGAAATGCTACTCTGTGGTCTGCTTAATTTTGGAGAATGTAATTTTATTAAATACTAAGAACTGAAACACTAGGAAACAAAGTATTTCATAACAAAAATTCTTTAATTGACAAAAAAATAATATGCAGTTATGGTTTACCTAAACTTTTACAAAGAATATCCCTTCTCCAGTTCCTCCAACCCCCACTCCTGTCTCCAGCTCTAATCAAGTATTTTCAAAGACTATTATGAAATAAAGCCACGTGAGCGCCGACGACAGATGACTTGGTAGGATGACACCACCAGATGCTTTTCCACGAATGACCAGCAAAGCAGAATATTTCTGCTTAAGGGAGAACAGTTACACTTCTAAATTCCTAAATTCAAATCTTTTTTTAATTATTAACTCAAACTATATTTCTTAATCCTCACCACATTTCAATTTAGCCAATGTACAGAAAAACGTAAATGATCTGTGAATAGAAACAGAGTAAGCAATCCTGCACTCTGAATTGTTTTGAACGAATTCAATGAGCTATAAAAATCATAGTTTTCTAGAACCATACAACAATGTTCACTTTTAAATCATATTTTGGTTATTATTATCACTATTACTTGAACTTCAGTGGCATTTAGAACCTGAAGTGTCTTAAAAACCCCTCCTCCCTCACTTTTTTCTTCCTCCTTCCTCTGCCTGCTCTTCATTTTCTGCTTGTGTTGGTAGATTGAGGGAGGGGGAAGGGATTCAAGTTATTACAAAAATGGGTAAACTGATTAGAAATCTGTATCGGAAGGGCTAAGGGATTCTTTTAAGTTATTATTGACGGTGAAGTACAGCTTGTTAATTATTCAATAAACACAGGTTTTTTTTTGGAAAGACAAAATCTGAACAATTATTTAAATTAGTTTTATTTGTATACTGCTAGCATAACCATTCACTGTTATTAGCATGGTCAATCATGATCACATCAATAAGAAAACCATAATTTAAGAGCTTCAACAATTCCAGAAAAGTGTGGGATGTATTCAACTGGAAAATATCTGGATCCTTTTAGCCAAGTTCAAGGATAAAAAAAGAAAGAAAGAAAGAAAGAAAACATCTTGATCCTCCCCTATTTCCAAATTTACCTCGTGAAAGAGAATGCACTTTCATAGAGCCAAGTAGACACAACCATAAGCAAGAATTTAGCTACCCAGAAAAATTTCAGCATATGTCCAAGGGTCATAAACTCCACTCCTGAATTCCAGGGATCCTATGTTTTCTTGGGGTGCCCATTTTAAATTTCAACCCAATCTGTTTCTTTTGAAAAATGTGTCTAACTGATAGGATTCACTGACATAGGTTTAATTTAATCTCTGAAGGCAACCACAGAAAGGTAAAACATGTTTCCTGTGCATCAAAATGTGGTATGAACTTCTTTTGTAATTGGGGCTTAATGTCTTTTAAATCATTCTGTTTTCTTAAAACAATTCTATTGAGCTCAGGTTACTTCAGCAAACTGAAATTAAGTTGAACCCCTGTTGCTATCTGCTCAACACAAGTCCAGTTTGAGCATAAATATTTGTATTTTCTTTTTAAAATTATTAATAGTCTGTTTCTCTTGCTGTTTCAATAATTGTAATTAAACGTTTAGATATGTAAGAGGGGACAATTTTTTGAGTAATTACAAATCACTCTGCTTCAAAGTCTTCTAGATGCCCTGAAAACTGGTGCTAGTTAATGCAATGATGATGATGAAAATTAGCAATCTTTTTTTTTTTTTTGAGACAGAGTCTCACCGTGTTGCCCGGGCTAGAATGCCGTGGCGTCAGCCTAACTCACAGCAACCTCAAACTCCTGGCCTCAAGTGATCCTCCTGCCTCAGCCTCCCGAGTACCTGGGACTACAGGCATATGCCACCATGCCTGGATAATTTTTTAATGTATAGATTTTTAGTTGTCCAGCTAATTTCTTTCTATTTTTTTAGTAGAGACAGGGTCTTGCTCTTGCTCAGGCTGGTCTCGAACTCCTGAGCTCAAAGGATCTGCCCGCCTCAGCCTCCCAGAGTGCTAGGATTACAGGCATGCGCCACCACGCCCGGCTGAAAATTAGCAATCTTGATTGACAATCACTACACTCCTTGTCCAGCCCATCTACTCTGATGATGATGCAATGGAAGTTGGGAAAGCCAACCTTCAGTGTCAACCTCTTGACAACCAGTATAAGAAAGATGGGAGGGAGAATATCAACACATAATTAAAACACACTGAGGCACTTTTCTCCTATGAGAGGAATAAAGAAATATGAATAACTTCAAATTTTATAAGAAAAAATATAGAATTAAAATGCATGATAAGAACTTAAGGATAATTGCTAAAGAATAGAAATATGACCTGAAACTTCTAAATCAGTAGAGGAAAAGGTAAAATATGGGTACGGGGAATATAAACTTTATCAATCCATCAGAAATCAAGAAAGAAGTGAAAGGAAAAGAAAACAAGCTACACGAAAGAAAGAAAAACAAAAACAAAATGAGAATAAGTCCAAATACGTTTATCAATGACAAGGTAATTAAACTTCCAAATTAAAATAGATGACCAGCCTGAGGAGGAGCAAGATCTCATCTTTACAAAAAATAGAAAAAATTAGCCAGGCATGGTGGTGCACACCTGTCTTCCCACCTACTCCAGAGGCTGAGGCAGTAGGATCACTTGAGTCCAGGAGTTTGAGGTGGCAGTGAGCTGTGATGAGACCACTGCACTCTGGCCTGGGTGACAGAGTGAGACTCTGTCTAAAACAAAAAAAAAAATAGACTATCAGATTAGACTTTTTAAATCCTGCCTTCTGCTGCTCACAAGAGATAGAACTAAAGCAAAATGACCAAGAAATCTGAAATAAAGGGATATTGAAAAAGCAGCATCAGTCAAATACTAAATAAAAGATAGCTGGTATAGCTGGTGTAATATCTAGCAAATAAAATTTAAGGGAAAATGATGTTGCTCTAGGAAGCAACATCAGAAAGCGATCTGATCTGGTGATCACATATCAGATGACCCCTATTCTATTAATAGATCCTAAGCTTCAAACATGCGGAATTAGAAGCACCTCTCAAAACCATAAGTTGCATGAAGACATGAGTACAGTCTGTGACCTTCACCACCTCATTAGCACCACATAGACCCAGTGCCTGGCACATACCAACAGTTTAATAATACTGAATTAATCACATCTCTGAACTCTAGATGCTTCAGAGGAACTCCCATACTTCTTATGTATCCTCAGAGGTAAAACATGGTGCAGAAATGTTGGTTAAAGATTGCACGTGTCACTTCCTCAAGCTCTGAATAGCAGTTAACACCCCTCTATTTTCCCTCCTCCCTCTCCAACAACATATTCCTACTGCTCTCTGTTTTGTTGGTGCAGCTATGTAGAATAAGATCCGAAAATTACACTGAAAAATACCCAAGGTTGAGGATCTTAGAGCATAACACAGGAGGTGTACTCCAGAGTCTGTTCCTGGGGCGGATGGAGGGAAGGAGAGACAGAGAGAGAGAGAGAGAGAGAGGAGGATGGGAACAACACAGGCATTCTGAGACGGATCTGCACTATTCTAACATCCTCCTTTGGACCTGGTATTATTCTTCCTGGTTTTGAGTAAAAAAGAATATGTAATAATAACTTCATTCTCCATTGGGAAAAAAGTCAGAGTTATCAATTATTTTCAGGAAAAAATTTATATTGATTTCTAAAACTAAGAAAATAATATAAATGTATTCAATTCTGCCATTAAGCTTGACAGTGTTGACAAGCAGCTCTCAAAGAATTTTGATGGGAGGTGGCTTTTCTAAAATTACTAAATTAAGATCAATTGCAGCTTCATATTCCTCAGGAAAAGCCTTCTCTTTTCTTTGTCGTTTTTCACTCCAGAACAGTAGGGAAAGAAGCAGGGGAAATGAAAGTGCATGCTCTCTGGTCAGTCCTCGTCCACCGCCTTCCTCGGAATCACCTTGAGAGGTTAAGATTCTCTCCTGCAATAACTGAAGAAGGGCGACTTGCACAGGGCTCCAACCTGTGACGGTGGACCACTCATAATCTGAATCTTTATTTGTCCTTTTCTTCAAGGAATATCTCAATGTTTAGCAAGGGAGACTGGAAAGATCAGAAAGTAACTGAAAACAACCATTTTCAAGCCAAGCTACCATGGGAAAAGTAAATATTCCACCAGATTTTAATTCGACCATTTTCATTCCCTCGCCATGATCAAGAGGAATCAAGTTTCCACTTCATTCAGAAGCAGATGTGCTGCTTGCAGAATGTTCTAAATACTCCCAGTCATTCACTTGAGGTTTACTGCAAGAGTTGACAATTGACTCTTGATGATTTAAGAGACATTTGAAAAAGTTACTAACCTCCTTTCATTCTGAGTTATTGTGCCATTTTCCAGCTTTTTGACTGTGGTCGCCAGCACTTTATTTGCATCATTGGCAAAGTCTAAGTCTCGGACCTCAGACAGAGGGACAGACACAATGGCAAATGCTTCTTTATCTTCCTTTGTTTGGCAGGTTCCAATCTGAAATGTGTTTTTCCATTAGATTAGTTTCTTAAATAACTATGCAATACTCTTAGAGGACTAACACATCTAGTACTGTTTAAGAAATGCAAGAGTAAATAACCCAAACATAGTAATTCCGCATGCATCATCTACTACAAAAGGATGTAGGGACACAGAGATTCTCCATTCCCGTTTCCTGGGCTGTTCCCAAGGCCCCACTGAAACATATCCCTTTCACACTTGCCCTCTGCCTCAGTCTCAACAGAGTAGAGAACATGCACTCCTGGAATCTTCTCTTCTTTCCACACACTCCTCCCATTTGTTTGGTGTCTATCCTGCATCCTCCTCTATCACAGCCCTGCTGCAGCCAGCTCACTAGATTCAGCTACCAAGCAAGTGGCAAACACGTGTGCTTGATTAAATTGATTGCTATAATCTCTAACATTGGTACAGTATTTGGCTGAAAATTAAACCATCCTCAGTAACATTTACCTTCAACATAACAGGCCTCTCTTCATCGGTGTCTATGGGGATACTAGTACTGGTTACCCATGTGTTGGTGCATAAATGCCTTAACCGAACATAAGAGTTCCTAAAAGCAAAACAATATAAAAAACAGATTATAAAAATTATCATGCTTACATATTCATATATTTAACAGTTTCATACATGATAAGAACATAAAATATCTTAAAATTAGTAAGTGACTCAAGATCCCTCTGGTTTAAGGAAAAATTTCGAATTATAGACTGTTCCAAAGCATGTAGTATTAGTACCTAGGCCAGTGGTTCTCAAAGTGTGGTCCTTGGACTGATGATGGCTTCCAGCCAGATGATGGCTTCCGCATCATCTGGTAACTTGCTAGAAATGCAAATTCTAAGATCTCATCCCATTCACTAAACCAGGAACTGTGGGAGGGGCCCAACAATGAGTCCTTTAACAGGTTCTCCAGGCAGTTCTGATGCTTGCTAAACTGAGAACATGGATCAAGTAACCACTCAGTTAAAAATGCTGACAGTAGTCCTTTTTGTAGTTTAAGTATCTGCACGTGAAAGTATATACAGTCAATTCTCATTACTTGTGGATTCTGTAGTTGAGAATTCTCCTACTCACTAAAATTTACCTGTTACCCCAAAATCAATACTCATGGAGCTTTGGGGGTCATTCAAGGACATACACAGAATGGCAAAAATTTGAGTCACCCAACAGACACATTTCCAAGCTGAGGTAAAATGAGGTGACACTCTGCCTTCTTGCTTCAGCTCTCATACTGTACACATATCCTTTTTGTGGCTTTAGTGTCACATTTTTTCATATTTGTGTGCTTTTTGTTGACGACTTTGGTATTTAAAATGGCCCCCAAGTGTAGTACTACAGTGCCGTATAGTGTTCCTAAGCACAAGGCAGCTGTGATATGCCTTACAGAGAAAATACTTGTGCTAGAAAAGCTTTGTTCAGGCATGAATTATGCTGCTGTTGAC